TGAGAAAGCGCCATGATAAAGACACGTCCCTTTCCTTCCTTCCTCGCACTCTACGCGGTACGTACCTCCCGCACTCACTCCCCGACTCCTTTTTTTTATTTTATAGAGGTGTCAGTGCAGGGAAATAGCCACTTTCTCGACCAGCCACACACAACTGCTCTCTCACACACACAACACGCACACACACACTCATTAGCGATCAGTCACCACCAACACTTCGACACCCGTGGCCAACCCACACGCCCAGGGCGCGTCAGTCTTCTTCTCTGGTCTTGGTCATGCCGGCCATGCCATGCCATGCTTTGCCCATCCATCGCCTTCCCTCCCCTTCGTTCTGTCACCTTTGCTGCGTCACGGCGGCGTTCTTTGTCCGTTGCCGCTGCCTCTGCTGCTGCTGCTGCTGTGGTTTGGCGGGTTCGGAGCGAGGTGCGTGCGTGCTGCTGGCCAGGGCCTAGGCTTGCTTGCGTGTCTGCCGCTGCTGCCAGGGAAGAAAGGGCCAAGCAGCACCGCGGCATCTGGTGTACAGGACCGACCTTGATTGACGTAGTGTACATTATCTCCCGGTCTTTCATCGTGGCGCTCCATTTGATCCATCTGATCCATCTGGGGCAGAGGGCTAGAAACAGAAAGAGAGAGAGAGGGCGAGGTACATGGGTGTACCTCCCCTTACGGCGGATACCTTGGATCCTGGGTTGCATCCGTCCGGCGCCGTGGATACCTCCAGTGGGCTCTGCAGAGTAACCCCCCGGCCACTGGCCTTCGACGTGCCCCAGGTCTTGCCATGTACCTCTTGTATCTCTTGTACCTTTTGTTCCCTCTCCTCAACCTGCCCTGCCCTGCTGCGCTGCTGCTGGTGCTGCTCTCTGGGCGTGGTGCGTGCTCGCTCAGAGGTGTGTGTAGGAAGGCGTGTGTTATGTGTGTGTCGCTCTCAGTCATTCAGTCGCTTTGGTGGTGAGTCTGTCTGTCACTCCCAATCCCATCCCATCTCCGTATCCGTCCACGTCCCTTTTACTTTAGCCCTGGCCGTCGCCCTTCCCGGCCCTCCCTTTCCCTTCTTCTTCTTTTTCTTCTTCAACGCAAATACAACATCACCAAGATACCACACACGAATATTGACGAGATTCTCTTGTCACAGTCACGATAATCGCAACAGCTACAGCTCTGCCAGCCTGATCTGCCAACCCGTCATTAGCCGACCCTGTCGAACTGAGCCTACCCGCACAGTTCCACACTTGCATCGCATCACTTCCGCTTCTAGCAGTACGTCAACAGTGTGCCCTGGGTGACTCAAAACCACAACCCAAACATCACCACCCTTTCTCCCCCCTCATCGCGGGATACCTCCCCTCCAAGACCCTCCCCTTTTCCGGTCGTTGTCGACTGCATCGCTGCCCTCCAAGACATTTCACTAACTGTCGCTTTTTCCCGTACAGGCACGTCTAGAAGCTCAAGACACGTCTAAACGACATCATGGCGACTATGGCAGCTGCTGCTCGCGATATCCACCAGGCCTCCAACATGAGCCGAGACAACTTAGCTGTTGTAGCGGCTCGGAGTGTCCCTGCGACGACTGTGACACGATCTCAAGCCCTCCCCACCCCTCCCAACTCCATTTCTCCCGCTCTGCCGCCCCACGGCCTCAAGGCCCAGCTTCAGAAGGCCAAGCTCGAGCCCATCGACTCGGACTTGGACCTGCACGACGACCCCAGTGGTCTCCGGCGCGAAGCCTCGCGGTCGCCCTCGTATGACGCGACTGGCGCCATCAGCACCACCCTGCTGGCCAAGCACCATCTCCCCGAGATCCTCCTGAACCACGGCCCTCTGGCCATCCGCCACATCATGGGCTACCTGACAACGTCGGTGCCGGGCTTCGCTGGAATCCCTCCGACGAAGGCGCGTCGCTTGGTGGTGGGGGCTTTGGAGGGTCGTGGAGCTGAGGGTGGCGGTCCGGACGGCGACGTGGAGTTCGAGAAGGTGGGTTGGGGACGATGGGATGCCCGACGACGCGGTCAGCCTCCGCGGGGGTCTTCACCCCCACTGATTACCGGTCCGGCATCCCCATTAACAAGAGCGGCGGACGCGGCATGGACAGGTCTCGCCTGAACCTCGCCTCCTCCAGCGCCGGCGACTCGATTGTCTTCTCCCACGACGATCGCGATGCCATGATGATGGAAAACGAAGCGGACAAGATGTCCCTGGATGGCTCAGCCTCCGCCTCGTGCTCGGAGGCTCCGGATGATGACGATGTTGCCATGGACGACGACCCCGAGGATGCCACCGACGACGAGGACTGGGCCGCCGTGGGAGCCGCGGCTCTTCGTGCCGAGTCCTACAACACCGCCGGTGCAACTGCTCAGTCTGCTGGGCGCAGCTTCCTCGGCATGCGCACCGTCTCCACGGGTATGGCACGCTCCCACCAACCTTTGCCTTTTGACTTCTCAGCGCTTGGGGCCCCGTCTGACGCACAAGAGCGTGAGGCGGTGGAGGCACTCCTGCGACTGGGTTCTGTATAATACAACTTTTGCATAGCACGGCGTTGGGGGATGGAGATTGCGCTGTGCGATTGGTCTGTTTGACTGATGAGAAAGCACCTCTCCTTTTTTTCATTGGGTTCGGACTGGTGGGCTGGGTTGGCCGAGCCAAGGTTGCCGTGTCATGACTTGACTGATCGGGCCGGCGTGCCCTAGATCACATCTCATCACTCTCCGGCGTTGTCATGACACGGCGATCCTACAAACTTGTGGGTTCGGCGTCCTGGAAATTTGGAACGACAAACTACGCCCTCGCGCGAAGGGCAGTCAATGTGGCATTGGGCACCACTTTGCATTACGATCATGGCTCTATTGGAGGATACCCCGACACTTTTTTCGTCGAAATCATTTCGACACACCTTACCTACGCCAACTGGCCGCTTTGGGGCAGTCATCCCCTGCCTTTCTTAACTGTCTCATGTCACAACTTGATGCAGAGAAGATACCGAGGCACGGTATCGTCACAAAGCTCGCCGTCTCAGCCTTTGCAAGCAGCGATGGCTATGAAGACAAAGAGACTTTAAACGGAGGGTTTCGACAACAGGTTGGAATGGGCTGGCCTGACAACACTGGTTTCCCCCACACACTTCGATTCTCTCCCATTCATGCGTATACCTCATTTTTGCACATACCCCTTTTTGTTTTTGTTACACGCTTGCATCTCCCCACTTCAACACGCCGTGGAGGATCACAAACACATTTATGCTGGCGAGCTTCACCTCGTCAGCCATCACAACCATGCGCTTGTTGCGCCCTTCTGATCACCTATTTAATCACCTTGGGGGTTGACGAAGAAGGCATTATGGATTTTCTTGTCATCAAGGCACTGAACAAGATAACAACACATCATAGTGTGTTTCGAAATCGAAGAGTCAGCCGGAGCTTGGCTGTCTGGCAACTCTCGCGGAGGACAGGACGCGCAGTAGTAGAAAACTGGTGATGCTTGGCTCGCTGATATTGGCATTATCGATCGGCTACGGAGCACTGTGTCTTTTGGGACATGAGGATGAGCAGTGGAATTGAAAAAGTCTCAAAACAAGGAACAAAAACCTTCATCCTATTTTTGGTGAACGGCGGATCTGGGTATTCCGAGCTTACGGGCAGCTAGGTTTAGCACTCTTGAGAATGGAACTCGTGACTGTTTCGTCCCATTATGATGTCTTCCCGTCTAACGCGACATGTGGTGTTCATGCTTGGGTGACGTCACCTGGTGCCGAGGCAAACGCCATGTTAAGGCAGCACGGAGCCGCGACGTCGGTTAGAAGCCTCGTCCGACTAGCGAGAGCCTACTCTCCTTGATGACGAGGTGCCTGGTCTCTGACTGTCCAGATATTAGACGAAACAGTGAGCTTTTTTCTTTTTTTTTCTTTAGTCGCACCTAGAAAGGCTGTGAGGATCAGATTCTCCTCCTGCAAACCGTCCTGGGAATGCCAGGCTTGCCGTGCTTTGCAGCAGCCTGGTAAATTGCTATTGTGAGCAGGTAATTCACGACGGCACCGTGTGGTTTTTTCGTCTCTTGTTCGCCATTTATGATGTATCGAAGAGAAAGGGAAAGGACACGGAAGAAAGTTGGAAGATGATAAGCTTGGGGTTGTTGGAGTTGAGATATGGGAGTCGTCCTGGTGCGGCAACTTTGCTCTTTTTGAAAAACGGAGATGCCAGTCTTTCTATTCTACATGCACTTGGAAGTAACCATTTCCATGGGTTTTTCGGGAGAGAAGAATACATTGGGAAACGATTATGTGCAACGCTTGTAATGACACTCCGTCTCAAGATAGAAGAGTGACAGTGCCTGTCCTGTCCTGTCCTGTCCTGTCTTGTGATGTATATTGAGAATTCCCACACCTTAGGATGATGACCAGCTAAGCCACCACATTCTACAACTCTCCGTGTGTTGTCCGTCTGTGTGTATTGAAAATAGGAAACGATGTAAACAGTTGGCCCATGGTGGCCTCAAACACAAGCATGTGTAGCACACATGCCTTGGAATATTCTGGTTGTCTTCTGAAGCCAACTGCTGCCTGGCAATGAGGAAGCTGATGATCTGTTTTGCGTCTCGCGAGGCGCCAATTATGGAGTCGAGACGTGGATTAAGACGTATGGACCAGAGAGGTTGATGATTTCAGCAAGAATGGGCTGATACCCGACACGCTGGGCCTGTTATATTAAGGCATCAACCCGAAGGGCATAGGCGACTTCATGTTGGTCAGTCTTGTAAGAGAGACATAGTCCTGGTTGACCTGACATCTTTTCTTTCGCAATAAGGCCTAGTCAGAAGGGCAAGGGGTAGAAAATATTGCGACGTTCAAATCCAGATGTCCATCTTAACAGGCGCACACATGTTGACAGACTGAAGTATGGGTATGGCACTGTCGGTTTCATCGCTCCGGATATGTAAAGGCATTTTCTTTCCTACAATTGATATCTACTTCTCTAAACGAGATTGACCTTCAAATCGAACGTTTGTTTCTACACAAGAAACTCGTTCGGCACGTAAAGCGGCATGGAGTCTTCCCACAGACTATCCGTGAGCATGCGCTTATTCGATCCATCGGCATCCATAACCAGAATCTGCCCGTACGGCTGGAAAGTCTGATCATAAATGGCGGCTTCGTCCCTGAAGCCGTACATGCCGCTTGAGTACAGGATCCGGCCGTCGTGAGACCACACTGCATGGGCATCATTGGCACCGCTGGAAGTGAGGGTTTTCAGATCCGTGCCGTCTGGACGGATCGTGCAAACGTCAAAGTTTGTCGCGGAAGTCTTGCGCGTGAAGACGATGCGCTCGCCGTCAGGAGACCAGAAGGGAAGGTTGTCCGTTGCGTTTGTCAGACTGCGGACTGCCTTCGTCTCGAGGTCAATGACGCGAAGTCCGTAGCGAACACCCCACTCCCTGAAGACGATGGATTTCCCATCGGGCGAGTAGCTGGGGAAACCGGAGTGAACGGTGCCGTCCGTGAGAGCCTCGTAATAGCTGCCGTTGGATGTCGTGCGGTAAACGCGTGCTTTCCCAGTCGCGCGAGCCTGGAACCAGGAGCCGAGCCCAAAGGCAATCCACTCGCCATCGGATGACCAGGACGGTTGGAAAGCACCCGCAAGCCCCTGGGCGACAAGAGCGGAGTCGATCTCGCCGGTTGACGAGGAGTCGAAGACGAGCTTGAGGTCCGAGCCGTCTGGGTTCATGGAGACAATGGAAGAGTTGCCGAGTTGCTTCTGAGTGATCACCAGGCGGCCCTGGAGGGAGAGCTGGGGGAAGACATCGGTATGACGGTATTCCCAGTCCTCATCCCAGCTCCAGAGAGGCATTTCCATGGGCCGAGCCGTGAAGCTCACCTTCTCGTAGATAACAAACTTTCCGTCAGGGGACCATGCCGGAGAACGGATCGCGGCAGTGACGGCAGGGATGGCGCCCGAGGTGTAGTTGTAGCCCTCGTTGTCACCGCCCTTGATCAGGTAAGCGATGTTGGCGTCTTCCTTGTCACCAGCCAACCACTGCGGAAACATCTTCAACCCGGAGCCGGAGGTGTGTTCCACTCGGTCGGTGCCTGTCTCGAAGTCGACAGAGACGATCTGCGAAGTGACGCTGGTGACGGACTCGGGCCGGTGCGCCCCCCACGTATTCTCGGTCGTGATTTCGTAGTAGATCACACGCTTTCCATCCGGAGACCACCTGGGCGAGCCGAGACAGTATCCCAACTTTGTCGCGATCTGGCGGAAGCCTGTACCATCGGGACGGATAACGTAGACGGAGAGCTCTTGCGTGTGTTCCCAGCCTGTGCCGTTACCGTGGCCGCGCCATTCGGTATTGCGGTCCGAGGCGAAGGCGATCCACTCGCCGTCTGGAGACCAGCTGGGTCTGAAGTAGCCGTCCGGTTTCAAAGGGTCGCCGGCCACGTTGGCGGTGTTGGTGAGGTTACGGCGTTCACCAGTCGCGAGATCCATGACCCACACGTTGGCTTTGTAGCCGTTCTCCGTCGACACGAACGCAAGTTGAGCACCGTCGGGGGAAAGGGCACCAGCGTCTTCTACGGAAGGGGTAGCGACCAGCTTCTCGAGGCCCGAGCACGTCGTCGTGTTGCCGGTGGCGGAGAAGCGGCAGCGGTAAAGGTCGGAGTTACCGTCGCCGTTGCGCTCGGTGGTGAAGGTCACCCATTGGCCGTCAGGGGAGAAGGAGGCATGGTACTCGTAACGCGAGGTGCTGTTCCCTAGGAGCTTGCGCTCGTTCGTGCCGTCGGCGTTGGCGATGTAAAGCTCTGAGGTGGACGGACCGATGCGGTTCATCAGAAGGACGCCCTTCTTGCCATCTGCGGCGGGCAGTCCGCGGGCCGAGTGAGCTTGTGGTAGAGAGGAGAAGTCACTACGCAGCTGGTTGAAATGGCGGGAGATGGTTGTTGCATCTGCGGAGAGACATACTAGAGAGAGAAGGAGTGACGACCGCATCTTTAGGGCACCGCTATGGGAAATGAACGAGGCAAGTGGTGGACAGCAGGTTGAGAGTTCCTAGGCGATGTCACATTCTTCCTCTGGTATTTGTATCTCTTTGCTGATGACTCGAAATTGCCGTCGCCTCCCCTGACATGTTCATGAAGCCCGATCAAGGAGAAGCTTGCACTCCAATAAGCCAGGGGTTTGGAGGTTAACAGTCAAGCCGTGGGCCATTCGACCAGAGCGAGCCTTTTGGGTCCCATCAAGATTGCAACGCTTCTTTCAGGCACATTGCCGTTCCCCCCTGCGAGAAGACCTTGATTGTCTTGGCAAGCGGGACGTTGTAGATGCTAAAGAGCTTGTTTTGGAGAGCCGCCTCCACTAAAGGTGACATCCATGGACATGGAGAGTGTTTCGATTCGATCGCATCAGCCCCACAACTCGGATAGCTCCCGTGCAGGCGAGATGAACCTACTGCTCGCAGTCGCATTTCAGTCTGGTAAGCACTACATGGGGAAGGAAGCTTTTGCGTATCCAGTGGAGGTTGAGGGGTTTTGGTTCATTCTACTCGAGATACTGGATGACGAAGAAAATTCTGGTAGTGTGGTAGCGGGGGAGATGCGAACTACGACTAAGGGCAACGGGTTTGACGCCTTCTTACGGGTTGTTGCATGACGTTAAGGCCATATTAGGTTGTCTTATCAATCGATCAGCCCTTAAAGTGGCGAGGGCAATTTGCTTGAGTCCACCGGGAAAGATTTGTGGTCATGACTTCATTGAACCATGGCCAAAGTCGGCAGCCCCCGATCATACGGTCCTGGGCGCCAGACAAAGTAGTCTAACATAAATTACCACTTGAGCGCATTGATGCTGGTTTTTCTCAGCCCACTGATAGAGTTTTTTGATAAGTCTTCTGTGACTGTAGCTACGTATCCAATGTTGAGATGATATGTTTCAGTCTTTGGCCAACACTCGTGACTAGAGTATGGGACAGTCACGGGAAAGGCCACCCTGAAAGGGTGAGGAAATCATTCGAACTATTCATGGAGCAAAACATAAGTTCTACACGTGTATGGCTTTACTAAAACCAAATAAGATTGAACGTTGGGTTGACAAATTATGCTGCCGGTCGAACTCGGTCCTGCTGTGCGCAGCATTCTGTCTACCAATGAAAACAGCATGTTGATCGAAGTCGGGCCTCATCCAGCATTTGGGGTCCTATCAATGATATTATGCGATAATGTAATCCAAGAGTAATAATCATACATCACAACTCTGAAGCGGCGCGAAGACAGCAGTGTGTCGCCCCTCCGCCTCGCTGGTGGTTATGTGTTTTTGTCTAAACCTCGACATTAATCTGCGCGGGATCTCCCGCCAAGCCAGGGTTCTACCTAATCTTCAGTCGTATTCAAGATGTCATGCGGCGAACTATATATTCATTCCCATAGGACCTGGAAGATCCGAAACATGAGCTTTTCTCAACATACTATTTTAGGCTCTCCCGTACTCGAGAGAACCAACCTGGGGGCCTGTATATAGAAACGCGCTCGATATATAGGAGGCCAACTGGCTCTTCAATCACGATGTCAATGGATCCATGATGTTACCTGCCGTTGCCGATGTTGTGATGGTTAATAAGGCTATAAAACAAACGTCTGGAGGCTTCCAATCCTACATAATTCTGGGAATGCATTGAATTCCAGTATGGCATTATCGCTTCCTAAAGACAGGAGAACTGAGCTGTATACAAGAATTATCCGGGAGAAGGGAGAGAATAGTGATATATCCCGGTACCATTTCAAGATAGTGTCTCGTAGATACAGCGATCACTGTCTCACGTTGTACTGGGCTGACCAGCTCGAGTGCTAAGCCAGAAGACACCGGGGCCATGACCGCAAGAGCCACCAACAAGACACAAGATAGAGCCTTTCTTGATAATTGACGTGGAACCTGATCATGGTGCCGGCGATGTACGGACGGATCAACTTCATCAGTTTATAAGAAGTCCTTTGGTGTGCGTCACAAACCTCTGAGGTCCTCTTGCTCAATTGTAACCATCTCGTCTTTCCAGCCCCGTCGTTCTCAAGCACAAGACTGCCTGATCTATGCCATTTCTGGATGCATAACACCCGTTCGAAACCCACTTCTGCCCAATTGCCCTTAACTCACCAATCAACAACCTCGTTATGCCCTGCGCCAACCTGCACCGCCGCAGGCCTACATATCAAAGGAGCGCCCCGGTTGGTTCTCGTGATTCATCCAAGAGGCAGTGACCGAGCGACCGTAAGCTCTTCGCCAACCACCTGATCCAACCAGTTGCATGCCCCAAGGACCTCGGTCGCATCCGGGTGGGACCAGCGCCAGCCTGATCTTGTGTCCAACAGATAACTATGGGAGGACATCCGCCGCACCTAATTTTTCCAGTCTCCATTGCCTTTCTTATTTAAGTACCCGCGTGTTTTCAATTACTCGAACGAGATCCAGCCATGTCCGATCCCCAGGCCTACACGGTCGGTTGGATCTGCGCCGTAACTCCCGAGTCTGTGGCCGCCCGAGTTTTTCTTGATGAGGAGCATGAACCCCCACAAAAGGTCGCCCACCACGACAACAACAGCTACACTCTGGGCAAGATTGGCAACCACAATGTCGTAATTGCCGCCTTACCTGATGGTGAATATGGCACGACCTCAGCAGCGGCAGTAGCCAGAGACATGCTCCATAGCTTCCCGAACGTGCGCATTGGGTTGATGGTTGGCATCGGAGGCGGTGCGCCTAGCCAGAAGCATGACATACGGCTCGGTGATGTTGTTGTTAGTAGTCCGGGTGACGGAAAAGGCGGCGTGTTCCAGTATGACTTTGGAAAAACCATCCAGAACTGCTTGTTTCAAGAAACCGGATTTTTGAACCAACCGCCTATAGTGCTACGAACAGCTCTCAGCACGCTGAGAAGCTCATATGAGATTAAGGGCCACCAACTTGTTGATGACGTAAATAAGAGACTTGAGAAGATCAAGAAGCGGAGCAAATACCGACGACCTGCATTTGCAAGCGACAGACTGTACCGGCCTGATTTTGTGCACCCTCTGAACTCACCTGACGGCTGCGACGTCGCGTGCGGCGATGATGTTACCTACCTTATAGCTCGACACGAAAGAGACGAGGAGGAGGATGATCCTGCTATTCACTATGGCTTGATTGCCAGTGGGAACCAGCTGATAAAGGACGCGCAGTTACGGGATAAGTTAGCGGCGGAAAGGGGCGTCATTTGCTTTGAGATGGAGGCTGCCGGCCAGATGGAGGCTGCCGGCCTGATGAACCACTTTCCGTGCCTGGTCATCCGCGGAATTTGCGACTACTCCGACTCGCATAAGAATAAAGAATGGCAAGGCTTCGCGGCCATGATGGCGGCGGCGTATGCAAAAGATCTATTACTTCAAATCCCGCTAACCAGTGTCGAGGCGGAGAGGCCTATCCTCAAAGTACTCAATACCAGTTAGTATCGCGAATCCAGTTCATCCAACACCGTCTAACTTTAACAGTTCAGGAAGATTTGCACCGATTGAATCAGACGGCAGATGAAACGAAGAAGGCGGTCGAGACCATGCACTCTAACCAAACGTGAGAGCAAGCCCTCTTTTGTCTAATAAAGCCATATGCTGACTTTTTTTAGGATTCTCCTTTGTGATATCCAACAGGGTGTACAGGACTTAAACCTTTATAAAGCCGAGGACTTATCTATCGCTCGTAATCCTCAATTCGTTGTACCGTTTCCCTCTGACCCCGATTTCGTGAACCGACCCGACATCTGGACATGGATCGAAGAGCAGTACGCTGGGAGTGCGAGCCGCTTCGCTCTTGTGGGATTAGGCGGATTTGGGTATGTCCCACTGGCTGCCATCAAGATCTACACTAACGAGGCAACAGCAAATCGCAGATGGCCATTCAATTTGCTCACCAAGTCCACGCCGCCTCACCCGAATCCAGCATCTTCTGGGTCCGCGGTAGCACGAAAGCGACATTCGAAGAATCCTACCGTTCCATAGCAGATGCCCTGGCGCTCCCACATCGTCGCGACCCTGGGGCTGATGTCCTAGCGCTGGTCCGCGACTGGCTGCAAAGAGAGGACGTAAGCCCATGGCTGATGATTGTCGACAACGCAGATGACACTGAGATGCTATTTTCCAAGATGAAAGATCAAAACGACGCGCCAATGCCGATAGCATCGTATCTACCCAAATCGAACAACAGCAAGATCCTATTCACATCGCGCAGCTGGGATGTCGCAGAAAAGTTAACGGGCAACGGCAAGATGATCCTCAGAATCCCGACAATGGAGGAAGCGCAGGCGCTACTGCTTCTCCAGAAGAAGCTAGGCCCGGATATCGACAAGGCTGTTGCGTTGCGCCTGATCCACACCCTCGACCACATCCCGCTCGCCGTGAACCAGGCAGCAGCGTACATCTACAGACGAAGCCCTCGAGTGACCGTTCAGTCATATCTAAATGAGTTCAAGAGGAGTGAAAAAAGAAAAGGCACACTGCTTCGCAACGATGGAGGGGACATCCAACGATATGACGGCTTGTCTAATTCTGTCATTGTGACGTGGCAGGTGACGTTTGAGCAAATTAAACGGGAGCAGCCTCGCGCAGCCAATCTTCTTTCACTGATGAGCTACTTTCACGCACAAAATATTCCCGAGTATATGCTGCTCGGTTATAATAATAGCGGCCTCGCAGACGTTAAAGAAAGCGAGAATGAGTACGACGAGAACGACGAGATAGGCGATAACGGGGATTTTGAGGATGACTTAGATGTGCTCAGGGGCTACTCGCTTATTGCAATGACAGCTAAACCGGGACTCTGCGAAATGCATTCATTAGTACAGTTTTGCACAAAAGTTTGGATTTTAGAGTTTGGTTGCCCCAAGCGATGGAAGAAGCTATTCCTCCAGTCCGCCTCACAACACTTTCCATCGGGCGTCTTCGAAACGTGGGAGCAGTGTCAAACGTTAATGCCCCATGTAGAGCCACTGTTGGATGAAGAGCCGCCAGAAGAAAACGACCGGCTAGAATGGAGCAAGTTACTAGCGAAAATGTCTCGGTACTTTCTCACGCTAGGCGAATATTCCAGGGCCGAGGCGGTTGTACAAGAGGCTGTGTGTATTTGTATGGAAAGTCTAGGTCAGGAACATCCTTCCACGCTCACCAGCATGTCCAACCTGGCATCAACATACTGTAACCAAGGGCGGTGGACAGAGGCAGAAGAGCTAGAGGTGCAGGTGATAGAGACAAGTAAAAGGGTACTTGGGGATGAACATCCTAATACGCTCACCAGCATGTCCAACCTGGCATCAACATACCAGAACCAAGGGCAGTGGACAGAGGCAGAAGAGCTAGAGGTGCAGGTGATAGAGATAAGTAAAAGGGTGCTTGGGGATGAACATCCTAGCACGCTTACCAGCATGAACAACCTGGCATTAATATACTGTAACCAAGGGCGGTGGACAGAGGCAGAAGAGCTAGAGGTGCAGGTGATAGAGACAAGTAAAAGGGTACTTGGGGATGAACATCCTAATACGCTCACCAGCATGTCCAACCTGGCATCAACATACCAGAACCAAGGGCAGTGGACAGAGGCAGAAGAGCTAGAGGTGCAGGTGATAGAGACAAGGAAAAGGGTACTTGGGGATGAACATCCTGACACACTCAACAGCATGAACAACCTAGCTCATACATGGAAAAGCCAGGGCCGGCAGGTCGATGCAATCCGATTAATGCGCGACTGCCTTAGGCTTCGGCAGCATCGTCTAGGGTTTGGTCATCCCGACACCAGGTCCTCCTTTTCAAACCTTAGAGAATGGGAGCAGGTTCTAGTTGCGACGAAGCGAATCATCTTCAAGGTTCCGAAGCGGAAGAAGCGAATCATATTCAAGCACAATTTGCGTAGACGATGAGTTCTTAGCTGGAACATTGATAATACAAATATTCATAGTGACAGTCCGAATGAGCCAAATAGGCCGATTGATATAGTCGTATAATCTGATTTGCGAGTCCTGCGAGTCCTACGATCATTATTGTAGGGCGAAAGAAGAGACGGTCGAGAGGAAGGGGGAGAGCACAAATGGAGGCAAGACACCTTTTAGGCGAGGTGGTCCCCTGAACGAATTGCCAGTGGTCAGCGGCAGGCCAACTTTGGCTCTGTTTTATATTCTTTCTTGAGTGCTTCACCACTGCAGATGTGAGCTGCCAAGCCGTATCCGAACGGATGCCAACTAACGTCATTTTTGCCAAAGGTGAGATAGAACCAACTAGTACTGATGATCTCAACGGGCTGGCTATACAGTAATTCAGAGGCACTTTTGCTGGCTAGACATTCTGGTTATGCCAGAGGTACCAGCAATCCTCATTGATACACAACACTCTCTTAAGATATAAGCAGCCCTTTCTAGTGTGTCCCCTCGGTTGGAAAACATGAAACCTGTAATTAGTTATGTCTGATGCAGCTATTGGAGCCTTCTTTTCACCGATGCCATGGTGTCGTGGTGCAATCAACGTTCACGACATGGAGAGATTCTACGTGAAATCAAGCCTTCATAGGAATCGAAGATCAGCATGCCATAGCACGATGCTAAGTCGGATCATTCTCGAAACAGACGAGATCTCCACTATAGCCGCATTTCAAGTGCTGAGTCCGCCGGGAAGTACTTCGTTTCTCGGTCCGAAAGCTAACCTTGATGTTACGCTGCCCGAACTTCGATGCGCGACTCTGGTTTAAAGCACATCAGAGCTCAACGGAGCTCTATTCGGTTTCCCATCCAACAACGAGACAACTCGTACTCTCCTGGTAGTCAGCGACGTATGTATCGACTAGGCTTTGGGGTTGTAGTATCTAGTGTGGGCTAAACAGCCTCTCGTTCTTAGAGGCTGAAGTTCCACTAGATGCAAGGCGTCGTGAGCGAGATGTTCCCCCAATGAGAGTCTAGAACAAGGGAGCCATACTCTCTAGCACAACTGTCAACTGGAAGAACTCGACGGGATTTAACTCATATGGCTTGCGATCGGTCTTCAAAAACCACGACTGATGCTGCATTTACCGTGCTTATTGGTATACCAGGATGGGAACCGCAGTAATGAATTCGGGAGCTAGTTACCAGGTCCCTCAGGGGGAGGGGGGAGGCTGTCAGCATAGAGATCTCTTGAATTGAATATCTGCAATTCGGTTCCGGGCGGTAAAACCGGCAAGGACTTCGGTATTGCGGGGGGAGCTGGTTTCGAACCTTCCTAGGTTATTTTTACTATGTTCATTCTCGCAATTGGCTCTCTTCCTTTGCAATTGTTTGTGTATCCGCTGGTCAGTCACAAGATCACCACTCTTGGAACAATCCGTTGGTTCTCTTGGTGTATGCTGTTGGCCTTTTCTCTTACTCCATTCGTTGCGGTTACAGTTGGCAAGCCATTGATTATGTGGGCAGTTGCTGTGGTAGCCCAGCTTCGGATATTCCGGACTTTGGCGATAGTCTTCCCTTCAGTTATTGTGTTAAATGACAAGTTGAATCACTGCCTGAAATCCTTAACATTGATGTTACTGCATTTCAGCTTGGGACTCTTTCACTGACAAGTACAAGAACACTTCTTCACCCTATTAATCCGTAGCCTCTGGTGGCAACACTGTCTATCGCCGGTTCGTTGAGGTAGTTAAATAAGCCTCAAGAGTAATGGTTGGCAGAAGACGGGGCCAAGGAGCGCATTCCTGGGAGCGACTGGCAATAGTAGAAGGGCCATCACGACAAGTTATCACACACCATGATGGATAAACCGTGATCTCGTGATGTCGGTCAATATCTGCATACCATATTCAAACGTTTAGCTTCGAGACATGGCGGCACAGAATCAATCCTTAACCTCACTTTCCTAATGAATGTATGAGACCATAGGTTTCTACGCATCCCCAGGTAGATGAATTTCATGACCGTTCCCTTCATTGACAAATGCGCAGAATGCAATCGCCAACAAACTCACTATGCTACTGGACCAGAACGGCAGACCAGCCAGGTTGTGGTTCAAACCGTAAGCCAAAAGATACCCGGAAAGAGCCGAACTAGAGGCTCGCACAGCCGTTGAAACAACGAATGTAATACTTTGAGTTCTTCCCAGAGCCGAGGGATGTGGCGAGGAAAGCGCTGTCAGTATGAGTTGGCAGGTTACTACACAACCTAGGAAAAGCCCTGCTGTACAGGCAAGAAGCACGATATATAGCCAAACAACAATGCCAGTCTTTGATGACGGCGGCGGCGTGCTGGAAGGAATAACGGCAATGTATGGGTATATAAACCACGTTAAGGGGAGGGTGAGAATGAAGTAACGCCAAGTTTTCAATGTGCCGAGGCGCTGGATAATCCGAGGATATACCCATAGCTGGAAAGGAAGTCCAGTGACACCTGTAGGGGGGCTCATATGTAAGCAGAGCTTCCAATAGAATCAATCTGAAATATTTGGAAAAGAACTAGCTAACTTACCAAATATGATTGTTGTCCATGCCAGCGAATGTGGCATAAAACCAGCGCCGCCACTAAATCGGAATGGGAGTATCCTCTGTTGTTCCTCCTCTTGGCTTGCCACGGGGAAACTCAACAGATTGATCATCGCGTCGCTAGTGACGCCGATTTGTATATCTAGAAGGACTGTGGCAAACAGAACAAGCAGCATCCTCTTAGTGAACAGCTGAGATGTTGGCAGCTGAGAAACAATGTTCAAATCGGACTGGTTAACAGCTGCAACTGAGTTGGATGGCCTTGAAAGGAGCTCTTGGTCATCTTCTTCAGTGTCTGTGGGTAGACCTGTCTCTTTCGTTTCCTCGGAGTCAAGGGAGATAGCTTCGTAATGTACTGTATGACCTCCAGGCGAAGCGGAGAGCAACGATGTAAGCTTTTTTACAATGATGATCCCAGGATCTGGTCTTCTGCGCAAGGGCTCTAGGGTCTTGAGAGGTTAGTCTCTATCACATAACGACTAGGAAATATGTGACAAAGACAACAAAACCAATGTACCTCCTCAAGGAAAAAGAAAGCAGTCAACAAAGATACCAATAAGAGCGTTGCGTTTACCAAAGCTGGAAGCGCATAAGGGTATCTCCATAATGATGCTTCTTTATCATTATTGTTGTATCCTTTTGTATAGGGTCTGACTTCAACTGTCAAACTTGCTATGAGCGAGCCGAGAATCGTTGCAGCACTTGTACACATTGGTAACAACACAAATGCTCTTGCTTGGAACCTTATAAACCCGTTATTCTTATTGATCATTTAAGAGAACATAATGCTAAACTCAGCATTAATTGCGAAAAACGTACCGCTTTTGTGGCACTATTTCAGAAATCATAGTCCTTACAATGGCGACATTGCTATTAGAAAGGCCTTGGACAGCATGAAGAAGCAAAGCCTGTGTGAAGTTGGAGATAAACCCGAAAACTAGGACGCTAAGAGCTAGAATCAACCATTAGACATGATCATTACTTTTGCATCTTAGAGGCTAACGTTAGGACGTCCACGCACATGTACAAGCTAAGCTAATGAGAATGACGATCTTTCTTCCCCCACGCGGTGAATCTGCAACTCGACCCCAGAAGATGGATGAGATGCATTGAGCTAGCATATAAGCTGTCCGAAGGTACGACGATTGCTTGATGATCTCATCACTGGGTAATGACGGATCAAGGAATTGGAGCTGGTAGAATATGTAAGAGTTGATACAAAACCTGGCAGTTGGCTCAGAGATCCGTATTAGGCAAATAATAATAAGTTGGCCCTTTTGTGGCAAGGATTGCCATCTCGCGGGTGCGTTTTGGTCTACCATCTCGTGTGTAACTTGTGAGGATCACTTCA